TAGCTTGTGGCTCTCTCTGTTCCATGTTCAGAACACTCATTTAAGAAGGCACATATGCTGGATCTGTCATAGTTATGAGAGACAGAAAGAAAACATGATTTAGGGCTGTGTCCCTACTCTAAGGCTATGGAACTCCTGTGTGGATTGTATTTCGGAAGCAACAAAAAGTCTGTTCGTTACCGAGCACTGATTTTGAGCAAATTGGAGGATTTGAAATACAGACTGTCCTCATTTAGCAACTACTGTTAGGACTGGTGTTTTATTTTTATTCATCAAGCAAAAATTACAAATTCAAACAAAGAAAATAAGAAAATCAAAATGTGATTTTGGGACGAGAGACATGCCTCCTTAGGGACCTCTTAAATATGGAGTGAGGTCCACAGAAATTAAGTTAGAATTAAAGCTGTGAAAGTCAATGGCTGATAGCAAATGGTAACTCATTTGCTAAGTGAAGCAGCTGCTAAATGAAATTGCAGCTATGCTTACAGTCTTATTTCAGCATTATTTTGCTTTACAGACCTGTGAAGGTTGGACATGAGATGATTGGTCACCAAGTTGCTTTTTCACACCATTTTCACTATGAAGAGTCACTAAATGAGGACTACCTGCATTGCTTTGGAACAGTTTCAAGCTGGATTGATAATTGGCCATTTTATGCTTTTCTGTATCTGCCTTATGCTCTTCTGGAAAGAAAGCTAAACCAGATAAACTTAATGAGCACATAGACATACACAGAGGTTTGTTACTTGTAATATTTATTTAGGTAATGTGAAATAAACAGATTCATTACTGCATTATCAGGATAAACAAACAACAAGAATATGAACAATGCTACTGGATCAGATCCAAGTCCTTTTTGGTTGAAACATTCTAAATCAGAGAACCTTGAGAATCTATCTGCCAATCAACAATTAGAGATATTCATAACATAGGTCCTGAAAGCGTCACATATCTGATATATGATGAATAGCCATTTCTTCCAAAAATGGCCTAATTCCATTTTGTAGGAATCCAGTTTGCCTATCACTACATCCGATGAGATGGAACTTTACAGTTCGGCTATATATTATTTAATTGGGATCTTTCACGTTTTAGCTTCAATAAGTAGCACTGTATTATGACTGGGAAGATTCAATTTTTCATCCTCTCCCCATTTCCTCCTCACGATGCACCTTGATTTTTGGTATCTTAGTCCTGCCTGACTTTACATTTAGTCTAAACTAATAATCCCGACATAATGTGATCTTTCCTTTTATGAAGGTTGCTTCAGTCCCTGATCATTTGACTTGGCCTCCTGTAACAGAAATAACAGAATAACAGAGTCGGAAGGTACCTTCTAGTCCAACTCCCTGCTCAAGCAGGAGACCCTACACCACTTCATATAAATAGTTGTCCAATCTCTTCTTTAAAACCTCCAGTGTTGGAGCACCCACAACTTCTGGAGGCAAGCTCTTCCTCTGGTTGATTGTTCTCAGTGTCAGGAAATTTGTCCTACATCTGTTCCATTTTCCATTATTGTTTTTGAGTGGTGATGATCAGACCCGTATCTGCTGTTCAAATGTGGGATTCAAAATAGATTTATATTGTGCTTGATAATACCAACACTGTTAATTTCAATCTTCATAACCCTTCATTAGAATCAATCTTTTTCATATTTGTTGTATGCTGGTCAAATTAAGATGTGTCACTATGACACAAAACCCCTTTTCTGTTTGATTACTCAGGAATTACTCTACATGCAGATTTAGTATGTTTTTTGCACCAACGTGCATCAACTTTTACACCTTGGGTAAATAAAATTTTGTGTGCTCTTTTAGTCATTTATCTAGTTTGGCCCCTGTCTTATATTTTTTTTTTGCCACCAAAAAAGACACCAGGTCTAATTTTCTTGGGGCGTGGGAATGTCGTCCACTGACTCATCTCACTTGTGCTCTTCAGCTGGCAAGGCCAGCAAGGCTTTCCTGAAGGCCTCTGCAGCCGATAACAGAGCTCTGGATTGATCCAGATGTTATCAGCTTCAGAGGCCTTCAGGAAAGCCTTGCCAGCTGAAGAAGAAGTGGGCCGGCAAGGCAGGTGTTGGGGTGTGTGACACCTGGCTGCAACTGTCTGAAGGTAAATAGTAGGGCAGCTCCACCCCCCTCCTCACTCTAGCTAGATTGGGTGGGGTCCTAATTAGGCCTTGTTTTGGGGGTAGGGCTTATATTGGGTGCATGTGTAAAAATCAAGCTAGGACTTACTTTTGGAGTATTTTGGGGAAAACACAGTGTGTGTGTGTATATACAATTATACGGGAAGAAACCCGAGATATTAACTGTACACACACACACACACACACACACACACACACACATGTTTGTGTATGTGTGTGTGTGTGTATATGTACATATATATATATATACACATACACACACACACACACACACACACACGTGTGTGTGTGTGTGTTTTTCTATCGAGACACCTGGTCTACCCCAACATGTGGGAGGGGGCATTCTGCTCCCTTTTGCCTTTCAGCTCCAATCCAGAAGCCCTCAAGTAGTCGCATTCACGACAAACCATTTTATACCAAATTTATATTTTGCTTATAAAGAAATAAAGGGAGACTAGTATAGATCTATTTCGAGCTTTTTAGCTTTCATCAGCTAGCCCCCTCCCATATCAAGACCCCTGATAGAAAAACACTTAATCTTTCCCCTGGCTCAAGCTGATGAAGGGAGGAGAACTTGTGGCTCAGAAGGTTAATTCAACTGCCTAACATTCAGGAAGCCCAAGTTTGAATCCAAGTAATGGTATGGCTAGCTGATGAACGCTAAAAAGCTCAAAATAGATCTATACTAGTCTCCCTTTATTTCTTTATCGGCAAAATATAAATTTGGTGTGTGTGTGTGTGTGTGTGTGTGTGTGTGTGTGTGTGAATGAATATGTATGCCTTTTGGTACACCTCAAGTGTAAAAAGAGGCCATGAAGCCCTAATATACACCTTGATTCTCCCATTAGTAGACATTTCTTCTTTATTTTTGGTTAGGTTGTGTATAATTATTATTATTGTTTTTTAAAAGCAGGAACAGCTCAGTTTCTAACATGATGAAGGCTGTTAGGGAAAAAAAACCCTACTAGGTTGTGAGTAGCAAAAGTTAAAAGTTGTTGCTACGGTTGGTAACCCTGCAGGTCTGTGGGATTCTGACTCCTTTGAGAAAATACAGCCCTCCAGATCTGACATCTTCTGTCAGTGTTGAGCAACCATGGATGTGATTATCAGCACCTTGATCCTCGCTTTCCACTTCAGAGGCCGGAAGCTATTACTCCATTCTCAAGAGCTTTGAAGAGCTTCGCTGCTCTTCTGCTATGGGGATCTCTCTCTAACAGCCATTCTGTGCCCTGTTGCTCTGAAGTAGGACACTCTGTACTAAGATTAAGGTAAACAAATTCTTTCCTTGGGCAGCGTTGCTTGACGTGAGGGCCTAATGGTGCCTTAGCGCTATATATCTATTTCTTTCCTTGCCATCTCTCTGGGAAACATTTGGTCATCAGCAGAGGCACTCTGTCGGAGAGCGTCTTTTGGAAATAACCAGACCGAAAACCAGTTCCAGTAAAATGCTGTCTATTGACATTTTTTCCTCCCTCTAGTCTCGCATCAAACTTATTATATTCAGAATAAAAATCCACCCAATACGGTCCCCTATCCTGGTGACCTCTGGAAACATTGGACCAGATTTTTTCCCCCCAATATTCTCAGATATGGTTTAGGATGGCTGAGAATGATGAGTTGAAATCCTCTGCACCTGAAAGGCAATGGGTTAGGGAAAAACCGCTAATTTTATTTTCCACTACATCAAATATATATCTACTACATATACACCAAAGACACATTCCTTGTGTGTCCAATCACACTTGGCCAGTAAAGAATTCTATTCTATTCTATTCTATTCTATTCTATTCTATTCTATTCTATTCTATGCTATGCTATGCTATGCTATGCTATGCTATGCTATGCTATGCTATGCTATGCTATGCTATGCTATGCTATGCTATGCTATTTCTATCATACGTACAAGACCATCCAATAGGTTGCCTAATATATGACAATCCATTATCACAATAGGTGAGACCATGAATAAGATCTCCGGATTGTCTGGACATGGAGGCATCCCAATTTCAAAAGCAGAGATAAAGGCACATGGCCACACTCTGTGTATGGGGAAGGCAGTTTAAACATTTACAGATACAGATGCAGATACTAATGACCACAATTGAGCATTTAGCAACATTTCTGTTGCTAAGTGAAACATTTGTTAAGTGAATATTGGCCAATTTTATGACCTTTCTTGCCGTAATTGTTAAGTGAATCAATACAATTATTAAGTCAGTAACACGGTGAATCTATCTTGCCTATTGACTTTGCTTGTCCGAAGGTTGCAAAAGGGGATCACATGGCCCCAGGACATTGCAACCGTCATAACTATGAGTCAGTTGCCAAGCATCTGCATTTTGATCATGTGACCATGGGAATGCCACGACGGTTGTAAGTGTGAAAAAACGGTTATAAGTCACTTTTTTTCATTGAATGGTCAATGAATGAACTTTTGTAAGTTGAGGTCTACCTGTATTAATAAGAAGGAAATGTATGTTAGCATGGGTATAGTTTTAGAGGAAAAATAATGCAATTCCAGCCGTTTTTCGTGGACTTCCATATGTCAGCTGGGAAGCAAATTTGAGAAGTCCCATTCCTGCAAAAGTCAAGCAAAAGAAAATTTAAAGCAGATTGGAAAAATTGGATTTGATTGTTTGATTAGCTGGCTGATTGATTACTGGTGCCCTATATAAAAAATATTGTTACTTGACTGGTAGAACATTTCTAATAAATACAGAAATGGAGATAAACTTGGAAGAAAAAAATATTTATGGTGAATGAAATCACTGCAAATGCGGGACAGTAAGTCACGGGTGAAGGGAATGAAGGCTCTCTGATGTAAGAGTGAGAAAAATCAGCACACAGCGTGTCTTAGTAGCTTCTAATTTAATGCTTCTTTTAAACTGTGTCAGTTCTGAAGGCTGTGGAGTGAACATTAGGGCTTGAAATACATTTTTAAAATTTATTACGAAAATTAAAACGTTCCATATATCTCTTAAAACAGTGGCGGTTACATTTCTTTATTAATACTCATAAATTCAGGATGGATTAATTGTTATAACAATACACTCAAAAGCCTACATGGAAATGCAATTTGAAATGTAGGAACACTTAATCTTTCCAGTATATGAAAATTAATTAATTTGTATAATATCATGTATAAACAACATTTAACCATGTACAATTTTGGGACTCATTTTTTAAAAAAAAATAAAGCTGACAATTATCCGCATGGTTTCAAAATCGTTACAAGAAGCAAAAGAGAGCATGTTTTTAAAAGTATGCTTTAAATCATATGGGTAATATTATACATATTGAATATTCATTCTATTATATGTTTAATTGCTAATGTTTAATTATTATAGAATTATTGATAATAATAATAATTATTATTATTATTATTATTAATCAAATTTCTATACCGCCCTACTCCCGAAGGACTCAGGGCGGTGAACAGCCAAGATAAAATACAGATAATACAAATATTAAAAATCCCTTAAAATTATTAAATATTTTGGCCGAAACACAGATTAAAACACCCAATTTATAAAATCACGAATTAAAAAATTTAAAAGAGGAGAGTTAGGCCAGGCCAGCCTGCTGAAATAGAAAAGTTTATTTATATACATTATAATAATAATATATATTGAAATGCCATCGGAAACATAACAAAACCTCACTGCAGTTTATGCAGCAGCTGACAGAAATCATAAGAGCTGATATCAAATTGCTTTCCATAACAACGTTCAGTACTTACTATATTTATAACTCGCATTTTCTCAGAGATGCTCAGGAAAGAATGCATTTATATCTTCCAATAACCCTGTTAGGTAGAGAGAGACAGTGACTGATCCAGGTTAAATTCACAGTTGCAAAAGCTTGCTCATCCCAGACCAGCTCATAATCTACTGCACCTCACTGGCTGCTAGATAAAAGTGCCTGATGTATTTCACAAAATAGTAAAATAAAGAGATGGAGTGCACAGAAGTGGTGGGTTTTTCTTTCCTTTCCTTTTTTTTTTTTCCTTTTCCTTTTCACATCCTGGATCCATTTTCTCCCTCCCGCTGTTCTCTTTGCTTCTCTGCCTCTGCACCCAGTTCTTTCATTTGTCATCATCATTCCCTAGGCTTCCTATTATTTCTGCCTTAAATCAATTTGTGTTAAATAATCACCATTGTCCATGACACAGTCCACTTTATTTCTGTCTCTCTTTAGCTCGTTCGGAAGCAGACTTCGTGGTGCCTTCCTTATAAATGAGGGATATTTAAAGAGCAGTCCAAATCCTTTCAAAAACGAATGGTTCGATTCTGCAGCCCTATCATCTGACACCCTCACCTCCGAGGATCAGTCATGATAAAGTATAACTTTGTACAGCAAATCTCAGGCTTCGGTTATAGTAAGCCTCGGAGATTGCCATGAAAACAGATAGAGCTGAATGCTGTCGACTTAAGGGGCCACCCGGATATAAGGCCATGGAATAAGCATAGCCAAGCTTGTTTTGCTGGCTGCAGATTTGAGAGCATGTAGCCAACAAAAAGGACATGTAAACAGATTTAGGAGAATAGCCTTTAGCCTTAAGGCACCATATTGCTTGCAGGGAAAGGGGAAAGGGGAAAGGGAGGGGAAGGGAAAGGGAAGGGGAAGAGAAGGGGAAGGAAAGAAAAGGGAAGGGGAAGGGGAAGGGGAAGGGAAGGGAAGGGAAGGAAAGGAAAGGAAAGGAAAGGAAAGAAAAGGAAAGGAAAGGAAAGTTGTTAAAAGATCATCATACATCTGGCAATAGGAATGTACCTAAATGAGAGATGGATATATCTGAATAATCAAGAAGCCTCAGACAGGCAATTATTTTGCATGAGAGTCATTGAAATCAAAGTCGGGTTCCTGATAGTTCTCTTGAACAAGTTAGAAAATGGCTATATATCAGTTCGGACTAATTATCCATTTAACTCAGAACTGATGACAGCTCTCCCTGAGAGGCAGAAACTCACGGGAAGCCTTATCACCTGTCAGGTATTGGTTCCCATAGTGAAATGGAGTGCAGTGCCTCTGCACTTGTAGGAACATGTATATGTATTACTCTGAGTTTCACCAAATTAATCTGGGCAACTCTAGGTACTGAAATGATACTTCGCCATTTAGAGACAAAAAAGATATTAGCTGACCCACAATTAAGGTATCGGTCTTCAAAATTGATCTTTGAAAAATCAGGAACCAAACTCATAATTTACAGACTAGCCCAACAGACATTGGGTGCTGCTTCATTTTCCATTTTAACCATAATGCTTCTTATAAAGTGGAGTTCAAGGCACCTTGTGTCAGCCATTCTGGCTGGAGGATGCTATCAATCATTTGAATTGATTTGAGAGTTGCTCTAATGGATATAATAAGGCACACATTGGCATTGATATATTTACCAGGTCTTCCTCCCACTGTAGAGTTTCTGTTGATGATCTTGAAGATGACAGGAGCGTCTTGTTGGCAATAAAAAGAGGCAAGGGGAAAAAAACAGAGGCATGCAATACAATCTTACTGCGTTGACCCCAAATCTGGCATTCAGGTTGTAAATGCTAAATCAATAAGTTCTTTCAGATATGATCTCAAATCATTCTTTGCAACTCAAGACTTATTCATACTGATCTATTTTTTTCTCCTCTCTCTCTTTCTCTCTCTCTCCACTTGAAACAGAAACAAAAAAATCTCTACCCATCCCATCCCATCCCATCCCACTCCACCCCAAACCCCACTTTATTACCTAATTATATTTGAAATTTTGCTCGGTCTTTGGCTAGCTAATGATGAACAACACAGTATTCAAAAGTTCGTCTGTTTATATTTCAGGCTGGGGAATCAAGGAAGCCTGAACAGAAATAACGGAAAACATTTGAAAATGCTTGAGGAATGTAAACCCATACCTGGCAGCGTTTGTGGAGATGTATTGATCTCCACTGTATTTGATATTCAGGCACTGGAATCAGGATGTAAGTTTGCTAAAAAGGGAGGGGAAAAATAAAATACAAACAGGCAAATTTCACATCATCGCAAATTTCCCTCAAATGGTTCCATTTGTTCAGCTGTTATTGGTTTGATACAGTAAATCTCCATAAAATACATCATTTGACACCAGAACACAAAGCGTATATTTCTTGGCTTTTTGACATTTTGTACATTAGTAACAGCAAAATAGACTTTTTTTTTCAGTCTACAGTCTACAAATGATTAGATCCTTTTTTGTTTTTACATCTCCTTGTATGTAGTCCGTACATAAATACTGATACAAAAATGTACTGGATATATCTAATGTTGTTGAGTACCCAACATTTGAGAAACATCATATGTGATGCTGACAATCCCAGAAGAATTTATTCAGCCTCAGAGACCTTAGGTGCATCTCTCCACTCTTCAGACTAACTACCTAAACACTGCCAGTCATCTTTAGGGTTAGTAACCTTGGCCAGTATACCTTGCTAGATAGGACCCTTTCTTTTGTGGTGGTGAGGGACAAAACTTCCCCGGGCCTCTGAGACATGGTTTCCTTTCTGACATCACAAATTCTAACATCAAAAAGCCATAAAGGAACAGAACTACAACTGGATAGTGGACAGGGTGCCACATCTCCTATACCATAAATAGTGCTAAACTTTTGACAAGCTGTCAATCAGTCTTTTATTTCCTCATAGGGAAGGATCTACTGAGATCAAAAAAGGGTAGCTGCAAATCTTTCTCTCTCATCTCTCAAGAGAGAGAGGGAGGGGGGAGAGGAGGGAGAGAAGGAGGGAGAGAGGGGGAGGGAGGGAGAGAGAGAGAAAGAGAGAGAGAGGGAGGGAGGGAGACAGAGAGAGAGAAAGAGCACCAATTGAGAAAACATAAAACATGGGTTTGTTTCTTAGGAAAAAGCCAAAGTACATCATGGATTCTTTCTCTTTTTCATTTTTGGGTAGAAGAGAAAGGAACATTCTTCGTTTTCTTTAAAAAGCAGATGAACATTACACTCAAATTTGGGAAACCCTTATGTTAGTAAGTATTAAGGTTGTGCAGTAATAAGATTTCAAAGGAGAAAGCACCCTTTGGTATAGTGGTTAAGGTGCTGGCCCAGAAACCAGGAGACTGTGAGTTCTAGTGCCATCTTAGACATGAAAAGCAGCTGGGTGACTTTGTGCTAGTCACTCTCGCTTAGCCCAACCCATCTTACATGGTTGATGTTGTGAGGAAAATAGGAGAAGGAGGAGGAAGGAGCATTATGTATTGTATGTTTGCTGCCTTGGGTAACTTATAAAATAATAAAATGGGATAAAAAACTAATAAATCTTCAGATATGAGAATGCTTGTTGCAGCTATCAGCAGGTCCTTACATCAAAGCTCAGAAAAAGATTCTGCCCCTTTAAGGAATTTCTGGCAGGCTGTCCAATCATACTTTTCCACTTTGAATTTGGATAGTAGTGCAGCCTGGTAAATTAATACAACCTAGAATCTGCAACCATAGATACTCCTACTTAATTATGGCTAAAACAAATCACAGTTACTTGATTTCATGCATATCATGAAGAATCAGGTTTGTTCATAGTCTTTCTCCCTGAGTAAGCATATGAACCAGAATTCATAACATCTTGTTACTGATTTGTTACACTAAAAGCATAGTTTAAGTGATAATCTAATCAGGAATAGTCTTAGGCACAGCCAACATTTCGAGTTGCTAAGTGAACATCAGTAATCAACAATTTTGACATATTTCACAAACTGCATGATTTAAATTAGTTTAATTAAGCAACTAAAGCTTTGGGTATATTTGGGAATAAGTATAACAAAGAAATACATTCTACTGGGGAATATAGAGAATATTTTGGTTCTAAAATATAATTTATACTGAAATCAGAAAACTAGGTTTTTTCTTTTACCAACATATGAATAGTTTTTGTTTGTAGTATGTTTCTGATATTTCTTTTGTCCAGAAAACACTTTAGATTTAGATTTTAGTAATATGTGCAATTCTATTTATATGTAAACCTTACTGGTTTTCAAAGAACATATATCTGGTAAGAATCCTTAAGAGTATAACCCAACTAAATTTATTTGTTGAATTGAGTTGAACCAATTTCATTACTTAAATTCTTTGGCAGTTCCAATGTCTCTCCCTATCAATACACATGAAAATTTCTAAAGCATTCTGTAAATGTATCATGAGCAGTTAATTTTGGTCCATATGTGGAAGGAAGGAAGGAAGGAAGGAAGGAAGGAAGGAAGGAAGGAAGGAAAGAAGGAAGGAAGGAAGGAAGGAAGGAAGGAAAGAAGGAAGGAAGGAAGGAAAGACTACTGACTTTTCTCATTTGATTTTCATTTCCATTGTTTTTTCTCTCTTTCCTCCATCATGCCTTCTGTTGCCTTCCCTTTCTCTCTCTCCTTCCTTCTTTCCTCCCTTCTCCCCAGCCTCCCATTTCTTTCCACTAATGTTTGAGCACACAATATTGCAATTCATCAATCATATGAGAAACAGTTATGTGAGTCAGAAGAAGTTGGAAAGAAACTTCAACATGTTCCATTTTTAATAATATTACAAAGATATTTTTGTATCCATTCATTTTAAAAGCCAGGGGAAAGGATGTTAAAATGAGTTATTTGGCTTCTTAAGGAAAGTTAACAAAATGGATAGAATCATATATATTAATCATGCTTTTCTACTAATCTTATATTCAATAGTACCATCAGAGTAGGACTCAGTGGTATAAATCCATGCACCAACTCAGTGAAATGAACTAATTTTAAGAGCACCCCTCAAAAAAAAAAAAACTCTCCATAAAAATTATTAATTCCTGATTCTAACACAGTAGCTGGGAGGTTCCAGGAACTGAAGTCCACACAACTTAAAGTTGCCAAGTTGGAGAAACACTGATCTAATGCAATAATGATTATATTATTGAAACAAATATCTCTGTATTATTGATCTCAATTTGCTTAATCTATGGCCCCTCAAATGTCTTGTTCATACTATATATATCAAACATTGTTCAAAGATGTGATTCATCATTTAATATTCATACAATACCTGTGCATCAGCCCTTGTTAAAAAGCCCACAACTTATTAGCTTTAAAGTATGCTTTTCTGAGTAGGCTAGCATATTCCAAAGATTTTGCCTTCCAGCTTTCCCTCTTTGATTGTCCTAATAGAATGGAATGGACACTGTGCTGCAGCAGGTAGGAGGAATGTGAATGGCAGGTGATAGAGCCAATAAGTAATTGTGCCTGGCTGCCAGCAGACCATTTATAGTCCTTTGTCCTTTGCCTTTTTTTGCAGATGAAACTTGAAGAACAAATATTTCAGAGAGATCTTGGTCAACTGAGCTGGGGGGTCTTATGCAAGAGTGCCATCTAAATGGTTAATTGGAATGCACCCATTTGTACTGTATGTATTCCTTACCATTTTGCTTTTATATCTTTAATGATAATGATTTGGGTTGTATTTTAATGGGTTCTTAAAAATCTATTATGGGTTGTTCTATTATATACCACCCAGAGTCCTTATGTCAAGTGGGTGGGTATATAAAATGTGATTATTTACCGTAATCAATTTCCTAGTGTTTTAAGGATTGTGTGATCCAATAAATAAGAGACAATGGAACATGATGATTAGAAGACTGGACAAAGAGAGATTTAATTTATAAGTTTCATTCTGTAATGTCAGACTTGCCATGATCTTATCTGTCCTGCCTATTTTGCAGAGTTGAGGTAAAGACAAAAATTGGAGAAAGAGATACCACCCATGTTTGGAGAAAAAGTGGAATGTAAATGCAACATAAACATAGATTTTAGCAGATTGAGTCTGATTAAAAAAATGACAGCTTTGCTGCTGAGATAAGAGCAGCCTCAATTCAAGGCAGGCAAAACAGTCTTAAAATATGAAGCCCGGTTTTCTCAGTATGGTTTCTTAGCATGGTTTTCTCAGCATTACAAAAAAGTAAAACATTCACATTTACACATTGATCCAGCATATCTCCCTATGGCATGGAAGCCTTTGACCAATAATGACCACGCTAGGCAGGTGCTATAGAAGCTAATGATGAAATAATCTTTCATCTTTGAACTCACAGCTGAATTTTGAATGGATATCCTTTCAAACCAAAGATTGCCTTCACATACTAGGACAAACAGACGCCCTACTGTTGATTACTGTTTTGGTTAATCCAGCAGAGATTATCCCAAAGGTACTTTTTCAGGAGGCAACTGGACTTTCCTGTTTTTTCTTTGAAGATGTTTCGCTTCTCATCCAAGAAGCTTCTTCAGCTCTGACTGGATGGGGGGAATGGAAGGATTTATATTCCTTGCAGACAGCTGGTCATTTGCATCCTTTTAGAGAGTCGTTGAGGCCACTTGGAGGTTTACCTCTGTCCTCAGGGTCACCTGAGTAGTGCAAATGGTTGTGGAGCCTTCTTGGCTAAAGGATATTTTCTGCCCTGTTTCCCTGAAGGATGAGAAGTGAAATGTCTTCAAAGTAAAGACAAGAAAGTCCAGTTGCCTCCTGAAAAAGCACCTGTGGGACAGGTATGACCTGAATGACTGAGAATCTCCATAGACATTGAGTAGAGATTACCGTTCCTATTTTCCTTACCTGGGGAAGTTCCAAATAACAATATAATTATTTAATTTAACAATGTTACTTAATATTGTTAAAATGCAGAGGGGTAAGTGGTGTGGCAGTAGAAACAGAGTGGGAACTGTCCATGGTAGGAAGAACATTATCTTTCAATCCCAAATTGAACCCCATTTTTTTCAAGAAAACTGTACCCCCTTGAGTTGTCACTGGGGTTTAATTTGCATCAATTGTGCTTTCGTTGATTATCAGATTTCTTCCCTCTTGGTAGGGGTGGGCAGAGACTTTTTATAGAAAATATTGTCTTGGAGGGAAGATAATATCTCTTTCTTCAATGGCCATGATTCTTGTCTGGAACAGGCCGTGATAGTAAAGAAAATAGACAGAGGAAGGATGTCGGTGGAGATCCTCAGTCATCCAGGTCATGGTTGTCCCAAAGGTGCTTTTTCAAAAGGCAACTGGGCTTGCTTGGTTTTTTTTCCTTGAAAACATTTCACTTCTCATCTCAGAAGCTTCTTCAGTTTTAACCAAATACTGGGGAATGGAAGGGTTTATATTCCTTGCAGTCATCTGGTTCCTGAGACCAACCTCAAGAAGGTTCTATACCCATTTGCAGTCTGATTCAGGTGACTCTGAGAATAGGGGTGGGCTTCAAAAATTTTAGCAGGGGTTTCTCTGCCCGGTTGCTGGGTGGGCATGGCCATGGTGGGCATGGCCTACTCCTTGGGCTCCAGAGGCTTTCCTCAAGCCTCCAGGAGGGCAAAAACGGCCTCCCCAGACTCCGGAGGCCCTCTGGAGGCCGGAAATGGGCCCATTTCCGGCCTTCCCGAACTTCCGGTAGGCCCATTTTTCACCCTCCCCAAGCCTCTGCATGCACCCTGCACTTACTTGCATCCAAAATAGGCCTCGTGGGGACTCCTGGGAGGGGCAGGGTGGGGTGGGCGGGGCCAGCCAGGACTGGGTTTGGGGGTTCTCCGAACTGCACAGAGTCTTAGCTAGAGGTTCTCCCGAACCCCTGCGAACCCCCAGCAGCCCACTCCTGTCTGAAAATACAGGTAAATCTCCAAGTGGCCTCAAGGACTCTCAGATGATTGCAAAGAATATAAATCCTTCCGTTCCCCACCATTCTGAAGAAGCTTCTTGGAGGAGAAGTGGAATGTTTTCAAGGGGGAAAAAAAACCCCCAACATAGTCTAGAAGGAGGAAGACTACCAGAGTGAGGGATTGAGAAACAATACTTCAAGAAGAGAAGAGAAAATAAGTTGCATTGAGCAAGAGAAAGAACACCCTCACTGGGATCCCACAACACCATGGATCCAAACCAAGTCATGTCACAGCTTAGCACAATGTTCAATCTGACCTTATTTATAAAAAGTCCCAGACGTTAAGTGAAGAATGTTTGCATAATGTGGAAATGGATTAAACCTAAGGGGTAAATTTAAAACCATTCCTAAAAAAGCTTTTCTTTCATTAGTATAATTTTACAACCCCTTAATATGGTTTGGAAGTACATGTCAGAAATTACTTTATAAAAGCAGTACACTATAAATGTCATCGCGGTTGTATGAGTGCATGCCTATGATATAATGCTTTGTTTTCCTAGCACATAAAAGAGACTATCAGTTTGAAATCATATCATCAACTGTTTGCCACCACAGCTGCCTTGGAGTAAAATCTTTTTAACTTATTACTACATGTTAAAAAAAAATAAAATAGTGCTATGCTAGGACATTCAGTCACACTGTGATCGTGGAGATATTTAAAGAAATGCATTTCCCTGGAACAGCAGACTTAACTTCCTTTGATCTCCTGATTTTTTCATACAATGTATAACACGGTGTTTGTATTTTGAAAACTTAATTTGAATTTCATTTCACACGGGGCTCCATTCCTTTGTGTTCTTTCGGCACAATATGGAAGGGGGCACGTGAGTCATCCAAGGGAGACAGAGAACAAATATAAATTTGTTTTGGCTCACAAAGCAAGTTGGACCTCTTTACCACACCCACATCAATCTTCATTCCCAGACAATTGTTGAAGGGGACTGGGCTGAATGATCAAAAACGGGTGAAGGAGGAAGTCATCTTTTGACAAGTGATTTGTGAGAATGAAGTCAAGGCAATTTTGACAGCCGTTTTCTTCTCCTTCTGGAATAATGCTAAGATGTCCAGGGGGTTGGAGATGTATCAATAAAAACCATACAAGTCCAACCATACAATCAGTTTGATAAAATGAAAAGAGTCTGAATAAAGGTGCTTTGATCATTGGCCACCTTTAACCTTGTCCTGCATCTTCTCAGAGCATCTCCTTTACTTTAAAGATCTTTTTTAGCATAGAAAGTTATGGATGCTTCTAAATTTTCTCACACTGTTTCAGGAGACTCAAGTACAGGAGTAATAAAATCCAATTAACTGATGGGTTCAGAAACAGAGCATCCAGAAAGGTACATATTTCCCTTGTGACCAGGAGAACATATACTATATTTTGAGGTCCCAACAAACTGATTTGTTATCACCACTGGGTAGAAACAACGAAGAGATAAAAGGAACATTATTCTGGATTCTGTGCTGTCAGAGCAATGTACTTGATTGATAGGATTATGGAAACACTGAGTAGTTTTATTGCCTATTTAGCTGGATGAACTTCCATTTCTTCAAGACCAAACACTCTTTTCCCTATCTCCTTAAGCCTTCTATCCCTTCCTGGGGGAAAAAATGTTGAAAAAGGGATCCTGAACAAAGGATCAGCCTCAAAACAATCAACGTTGAGGCAAAATTCAGAATATCATATTTGGAGATTATTATTTATGATGATGATTTTGGAAGCAATAAGATAGACTCCACAGACCTTGTTCTCCTACATCCAGAGAACTGTCTCACAAATGATATTGTAAATAAAATAAAATCAATACAAAAATAACTATAATAGATGGTGATGTTGGTGGTCATGATGATGATGATGATGATGATATAACTGAATAATTGTGGAAGAACACCCAAGCACTACATTTCTATCAGGCTCTTCACTTATCTGTATACCCCATGGTGGCACTTTGATTTAGGCTCAGTGTGAGTCTAACTACTGTGTCTTATTAAACAGACCATGCTTAAAGCAAATCATTACTTGATGCAATGTCTGAATCCTGCCCTATTACAGCAGTCCCATATAGGGAGGAGGAAGAAGAGGAGGTGGTGGCAATTCAGGTTCTTTCAGGGATCATACCCACACTGAGATGCATGAGGAAAGGGCTCAATGCCTCTGTTAGTCTTTATCCATAAACTTCCTCTCTATTCAGGTTTCCCAATCAGTTCATAAATAACAAATCGCACCATTATTCCTAGAATCCTGTAATATTTTCAATTTTATTCTCGATTTTTTTCCCTTGCCAAATATATTGCAGAGTCAATTTATTTCGTTCATCAAAAAAATTATTTTCTAATTTTACTGGTATGGTTTGAAATAGAAAGAGTAATTTTGGTAGTACGTTCATTTTCACCACTGCAATTCTCCCTATCATCGATAACTGTACATTCTTCCACCTTTCCAAATCTATTTTAATTTGCTGTATCAGCTTTGTATAGTTGTCCTCTTTGATTGTCCCACACCTAGCTGTTAAGAAAATACCAAGGTATTTAACATTCTTTTCTATCTGTAGGTCAATTTTCTCTGTCAATTCCTTTTTCTGTTTGTTGGTGAGATTTTTAACTAATATCTTGGTTTTATCTTTATTTATTTTCATCCCTGCCACCTTTCCATATTCCTCAATTTTCTTGACCAATTTAAGGCCAGTTTCTAAGGGTTCTTCTAATATAAACACTAAGTCATCAGCAAAAGCTTGGAGTTTGTACTTTTCGTTTCTAATTTCCATTCCTTTTATCTCTGTATCTTGTCTGTTCCTCGTCAATACCTCTAATGTTAAAATGAATAATAATGGGGAGAGGGGACAACCTTTTGTATACTAAAGCTTTCTGTTACATCTCCATTAACCAATACTTTTGTGTTCTGTTGAATGTAAATTGCTTTAATTGTATTCCTAAATTTTCCACAAAATTCCATAAAATTTAATTGTTGCAACATAAATTGCCAATTTATATTGTCTAATGCTTTCTGTGAATCCAGGAATATTAACGCTAGCTATTTTTCATAATGTATTTTGTAATATTCTAGTACATCCATGATTATTCTAACATTATTTTTATTAGTCTTTTTGCTAAAACCCATTTTGATCTGAATGGATGAATTCATTTAAAAAACTTTTTAATCTTTCTGCAATTATTGATGCGAAGATTTTATAGTCTGTGTTTAGTAACAAAATCGGTCTATAGTTTTCAATTTGAGTTATATCCGAATCTTCTTTGGGGATCAGGGTAATATAAGCCTCTTTCCATGTATTCGGAATTTTAGCTTCCGTTAACACTTCATTGTATACTTCTAGCATTGACAGACTCAAGGTATCTTCTAATTCTTTATATATTTCTACTGATAGACCATCTAGTCCCAGGGTTTTATTGTGTTTTTTTTTTGTTTTTTGATTGCGTTCATTAACTCTGCCATTGTTATTCTTTCCTCCAGCCTATTCTTAACCATTTCTGAAATTTTAAAAGACTGGGAATTATATTACCAGGCTGCAGCTCTCACCTGGCTAAAAGATTGGGTAAACTTGAATAACAGAAGACTATTATTACTAGAAGGGCACGACTTACAATTAGGCTGGCATGCCTTTCTCTGGTATGGCACACAAATATTTCCATAGGCATTATGTGAGGAACGTGTTGGGGAAAAATTAAACTACAACACTATATAAGGAAGTACCTCCATCGGCGGCAATAATATATCCAAATCTTATAAATTGGGGGAAAATATAAGGACATTTTAGATGAAAGGGGGGGATCTTAAATCCAGACAATTGCAGAAGCAGGGGTTGGACTTATCTTGGTGGCCATATTTGCAGTTCCAAGCAAGGCATGAAAAAGATCTTAAATTATGGGGTGTAAACAAAGAGCAAACAGCACTGGATGAAAATTGATTAAATATATCACGGATAAAAAATTGATTAAATATATATATATAATTATTTACTGAACTATAAAATGGAGGAAGAGATAGTTAAAGAAACAATGATTGCCTGGGCAAGGAATTTTGGATACAACATAGAATTAGAAAAATGGTTAAAAATTTGGGAGAGAAACTACAAACTAATGATGGCCGCGGTATATAAAGAAAACCTTTACAAAATGTTTTACAGGTGGCACTTGCCACCAGAAAGATTGGCCAAAATGTATAAGAACTCCTCTGCCAATTGTTGGAAATGCAACTAGACTCCAGGATCAAAGTACCACATGTGGTGGGCATGTAAGAAAGCAAGGAGTTACTGGGAGAAAATTCATAAATAACTAGAAATGATAACTGAGCAACATATTGAGTTCAAACCAGAAACGTGCCTCTTAGGTATATTGCCATATTTATGACAAAGCAACCATGTTACATATAGTGTTACATATATTGACGGCAGCTAGAATTACATATGCTAAATATTGGAAAAATGCAAACACCCCACCGGATGATGACATAATTAGGAAAATTTGGGATTGTGGAGAAATGGACAGATTAACTTTAAAAATTAAAGATAAAGAAGACTCAAAATATTATAGGACATGGAATAAATTTTATGAATGGATAGAGACAAGAGGTAGGAATGAGAGGGAAGTTTATGAATCTCAGTACAACAAAGATGTATAAAACTATGGATATAATATGGAAAAATTTGTAAATAAGTTAATGTAAGTAGAAACTTAGCTGAAGTTTTTTTTTTATTTCGTTTTGTTGTTGTTGTTGTATTGTTGCAATTACTGTTAACATAGTACAGTTATAGTTATTAGCATGTATGTTATTTATCATTGATCTCTCTCTGGTTGTGTTTTATTTGCATTGTCATCCTGACATGGCACTGTCTTTTCAATAAAATAGAAAATAAATTTAAAAAAAAAAACCCCAAAAAATGATAATGAATAGCAAAAAATAATAAATAATATTATGTGTGCGCGTATGTTTGTGTGCATGTTCACTCTCTCACATATGTGCTATATGTAGATGTAGATGATATAGATGATGTACAGTATATGATGTACAGTATATGACATACAATATACTGTATATATGTGTGTGTGTGTGTGTGTCTGTCTGTCTGTCTGCCTGCCTGCCCTTGGTGCTCTCTGAGCTTGGTTGATTTTGATGAGGATTTTGAGCATTGATGAGGTTACCTAGTTTGGGTAATGAATATCTGCAAGAAAACAACCGAGCTCAGAGAGCACCAAGATCCTCTCATTTCAACCCCCAGCTACAAACATTCTCCTTTATTGATATGCGTATGCGTATGCCTATGTTTGCATGCATATTCTCTCTCTCACACACACACAAACACCCTTCCCCCCCCACACACACACAAACACTGCAGCTGCTGGTTGAGAAGATCCAGCCTCCACTTCCAGCTGCTTTGCCTTGCTGAGCCCCCACAGCTCAGGTTCACAGTTTAGCCAGATAGCCTCGCCTGTGGCCACTGCGCTGCTCCTCAAAAGAAAGAACTCTTCAACAGGACGATGTTTCACTGACCTTCCTTGGGCGGTTCCCTCTCTGCTCTCCCCAGCCCAGCTCTCTTTAAGGGAGCGGTTTTAAGGCAATCTGCTCGCAGAGTTTTGCCCATAAACTGTACCGAAGCGATGACAGCCCAGCCCAGTATGGATTTCCGATGCCTTGGCATATGTTAGGAAAGGAGGCAGGCAACACTCAGGACAGTTTAGGTTGTTAATAAAGACCTGTGTTCACCCTTGCGGCTTGCCTGCAACAGCTTTGCCTTTCTTTAGTAAGAGGATCAGGAGAAGCAAATAAACTGCAACAAGGAACGGCAATAGGATAACTGTATTCCCTGCTAATACCGTGATTGGGAGCCCTTTCCAGTATTAAGAGCAGAGACAGTTAACCGCATTGTTGTTTTGGGTGGGCGGGCGGGTGGAGGTGTACATTCAACAGACCTCCGGATTTTTCGTCGGGCCCTGAAAACCCATTTATTCCAACTAGCTGGGCTGGCTTGAGTCAAATTTTAAATGGATTTTAAATTGGAATGTTTTAATTACGGCCAAAATTATTTAATTATTTTAAACAGTTTTTTAGATTTTGTATGTTTGTATGTATGTCTTGTTTTTACTTTGGCTGTTCACCGCCCTGAGTCCTACATTGGAGAAGGGCGGTATAGAAATTTAAACAAATAAATAAATAAATAAATATAACCTTTCTTTTCATTTTGCCCGTTTTATCAACTACCTGCACCCCTTTCTGCAAAGCAGCGGTTTAATCCGAGGGACAATATTTCGCAGGGATGCTTCGGTTGAAAATATGCATTGAAAAACAAGTCATATTTTCCTTTCCCCTCCAGATACTATGCTCGGTCGTCCAGGCAGAATCCTTGGAAATGAGTTCAGAAAACCCTATTTAAGGGGACGGAAAGAAACAGTGTCATCAGGGGAATGGAAACCATCAGGAAGTGTTGCAAAACAAAAGCTTGGTATGACATGAGGTTGAACCGCTTGTTTGTTTTTTTTCCCCCTAGAAAGATGACACTGGAAAGAGCCTTGCAATTACAAGATAACCTTCCTGGTATTATTTCTGCCTTCCTCTTCCCTTAGAGGGGCAAAAAAAGAGAGTTATTTCTCTGGTTTTGGTAAAACAGGTTTCTGATTACATCTGAAACAGCAAGCTTCGGTTTGCATCTGGCCCTCAAACCAGGATTGCAAAGCACTTCAGGGAGCCTCTTTCTAGTTGTATTTTTTAATAGTGTCAAAAACCATATTTGGACTTAGGTTGGTGCTGAGACAATATGTGCGAGAGAGCCAGAAAGAAGTGCAAGAAGAGGAGGAGTTTTAAAGCAAGAAACTTCAGGCACAATCCAAGCTATGATAAGTAGTTTTAAATCCAAATAATTAAAATCGGGCAGGTCCATTTGTTTCTTTATCCAATTGAGAGACCGCCATCTCATTCACGGACCAATTCTGGCTGGTGTATAATTAAAAACATCTAAACCATATAAACGTTATATTCCAATAGGAGGCAATTAGAACAAAAAAGAGAATAATTAAAGTTGTTAAATGTAAAGATTAATTATCTATAATTATAATTAATGCATAATTGTATTAATTAATTATTATTATAAAGTTAATAATTAAAGGTTGGGTCAAACAGGCCTATGTATTTTCACGATTGGCTGGAAATCCAGTTATACTTAGCACAAGCTAGAAGTAATATAATAGCAATGGTTAAGTTTTGTTGGATATACAAAATATTTATTGTTGGATATACAGTATATTTCAAGCCCCCACACATGCAATAGCCCTTTGTCAATTTTAATTTTAGATTTTTTTTTCTTTTTACAAAAGATGCTGCTACAGAGTCAAATTCCTAACAAAACAATGCTGTATACATGGTACAGAAGTTTGAGCTCAGTGGAGCTTTCTTGCAGGTAAGTATATATAATAAGATTGAAATCTAAGGGGCATTGTGGGTGGCTTCCTTTCCCTCTAAAGCTTCAGAATGGAAGTACACATTTAAGTCCTCTGCCTTTATTAAAAGTGCCAATCAGAATCCAGAAAAGCGTCCATCATCCGCCTACTAGCTGTCACTCCAATCTTGAGTCACACCCACAGCATTCTTTGAATCTTTTATTTGACTTGAGAAGGAACCATTCATTCATTTCCACGCAAAAATGCATGTAGCCTTCTCCATGCCAGGGGTATTAAGGCTGCATGCAATTAAGGACATTATATATGGATTGGATATTAACCCCAGAAAACATGGTGTGATTATTATGTAAATGATGCCAACTGCAAGGGGTCCCAATTCTGTGTTTGTTCCTCTTAGAGTCACCCAAATCCCATCGAGTTCAGTAGAACACACTGACCGGGTATTTTTACTTAGAACATAGAATAATAGAGTTGGAAGGAACCTTGAAGGTCCCACTGCTCAAGTAAGAGACCCTATACAATCTCAGGCAAATGGTTGTCCAGTCTCTTTTTGAAAGCCTCCAGTGATGAAGTACCCACAACTTCTGAAGGCAAGCTATTCCATTGGTTGATTGCTCTCACCATTATGAATTTTCTCCTTAGTTCTCTCCTTGCTTCTCTCCTTGGTTAGTTTTCATTAATTATTTCTCGCTTTGCCTTTTGGTGCTTTGGAAAATAGGTTGACTCCCTCATCTTTATGGGAGACCCTCAAATATTGTGCTCATAATAAAATGTCTTGGAATGGCTCTGCTAATTTCAAGAGTGACAGGTCCACATGTGAAGGTCCAATTAAGCTGCCCAGAGTCATTGACTGAGATGACAACTATAGAAATTGAAAAAAAAAACCAAAACAAAAAAACCAATAAACAAACAAAGCCGGTGAGGTGAGGTGAGGTGAGAGTGCCTGGCCCAAAGTCATCCAGCTGGTTTTCATGGCGTATGCATGACTTGAACTTATGGTCTCCTACTTTCTAGCCTGGTACCTTAATCATTACACCAGGCTGGCTTTCTGAATCCAGGTCTTTGGTTCCTATTCCTTCACTGCCACACCAGCTTATACTATATCTGATACAATTCAGTGTCTGCAACATTTTCAACAGAGATGTCCACCAGATGTGGTTAAAGAAGTCAGAACAGTGGCCACAATGGTGCTATCAAAGTTCTACCTGTGCTTTAGATGCCCTGCCACCATCCTGACTTCACACCCTGCAGACTCTCCTGCGAAGGATAAAGTTAGTCTGTCTATTCAATAAAGGGATCATAATGGTTGTTACCTTTCTTATAGAGACAACAATTTCAACAGATTTGCTTCTCATTCAGACAACACTTTTTCCCCCCTTTGATGTCCACCTTCCTTCCAGCAGCCCACTAGATGGTTTGGCTGGCTGGAATAGGTGCTCCTAACTGCTTCATAGAAAACCTGAATTGGCTAAAAGCTCAGCATCTGCCATTTGTAAATAACCAATTCTTTCCCTGTGGTTTCATCAGCTTTTACCATTTCTTTTGCCAGCATATTTACAACTGTTGTTGTTGTTTTCTAAAAAGGCTTTGGATTCTGCATACTGTATGGGAAGGCAGCTTCCCTGTTTTGAAAATGTTTTTCAGTTTGCTGTCTTCCCATTCTTCCCTCTTGAATGTCACTATTCTCCAGCAGGTTGCTACCTACCAGAGACATCTGTGGTCCTTCATGAAGATAGAAAAGAAGCTTTTGTTCACTGCACACTTGATATAGTTCCTTTCTACAACTGGAAATCCTCCCAGTCGGATCTGTCACCCATTTTAAAGAGTGCATCAGAAAACCTGCAGGATTAAGAAGTCACCATTTCAAGAGGGAAGAAAGGAAAGTGCCTGAATTAACTATTTTGGCTTGTCATTGGTTCTTTTGTTTCTGTTTCACCGATTCTTCTCTTTTGTGCCAATGG